TGGTGAAGCCTGCTACTAACTGTGTTAAAACAGTGGTGAAGCCTGCAACTAACTGTGTTAAAACAGTGGTGAAGCCTGCTACTAACTGTTTAAAACAGTGGTGAAGCCTGCTACTAAGAGTATTAACACAGTGGTGAAGCCTGCTACTAACAGTGTTAAAACAGTGGTGAAGCCTGCTACTAACCGTGTTAAAACAGTGGTGAAGCCTGCTACTAACACAGTGTTAAAACAGTGGTGAAGCCTGCTACTAACACAGTGTTAAAACAGTGGTGAAGCCTGCTACTAACTGTGTTAAAACAGTGGTGAAGCCTGCTACTAACTGTTTTAAAACAGTGGTGAAGCCTGCTACTAACAGTGTTAAAACAGTGGTGAAGCCTGCTACTAACAGTGTTAAAACAGTGGTGAAGCCTGCTACTAACACAGTGTTAAAACAGTGGTGAAGCCTGCTACTAACACAGTGTTAAAACAGTGGTGAAGCCTGCTACTAACTGTGTTAAAACAGTGGTGAAGCCTGCTACTAACTGTTTTAAAACAGTGGTGAAGCCTGCTACTAACAGTGTTAAAACAGTGGTGAAGCCTGCTACTGACACGGTGTTAAAACAGTGGTGAAGCCTGCTACTAACACAGTGTTAAAACAGTGGTGAAGCCTGTTACTAACAGTGTGAAAACAGTGGTGAAGCCTGTTACTAACAGTGTGAAAACAGTGGTGAAGCCCGCTACTAACACAGTGTTAAAACAGTGGTGAAGCCTGCTACTAACACAGTGTTAAAACAGTGGTGAAGCCTGCTTCTAACAGTGTGTTAAAACAGTGGTGAAGCCTGCTACTAACACAGTGTCAAAACAGTGGTGAAGCCTGCTATTAACACAGTGTTAAAACAGTGGTGAAGCCTGCTACTAACACAGTGTTAAAACAGTGGTGAAGCCTGCTACTAACACAGTGTTAAAACAGTGGTGAAGCCTGCTACTGACACAGTGTTAAAACAGTGGTGAAGCCTGCTACTAACAGTGTTAAAACAGTGGTGAAGCCTGCTACTAACAGTGTTAAAACAGTGGTGAAGCCTGCTACTGACATAGTGTTATTTTCCTGATTGACTGCTCGTCGTACGGGTGGCCTGAGGTTTTAGGCTGCAACTCAGAGAGCCTTCAGCTCAGACGCTGAATTATGGACTGCTGGGTCTCTGATGTTTGTCTTATTGGCGCTGCCTGCCCTTAGAGCTGTGGTTCTATCCATGTTGGTTTTCAATAATATCACTTATAGCTGTGGCTCTATCCATGTTGATTTTCAATGATATCCTCATGAAGGCTGAGAATCATGTCATAACCATATAGTTGGTCAACAGGTCAATAGAAAGATCTGTATTGTGTACTGTACACAGGAGACCATGGAAAAGGTTGGGGGAAACAAAATATTTAGATCAAAAATACCCCTCTGCTACACATAAAGAGTTGATGGCGCACCAGAGTAAAAAAACATAGAAGAAGAAAAGAGAATCCATATGTGTTCCCTTTAGCAAAATACAGCTATATGCACAAGATACATTAAAGGGGCAATCTGCTGTTTAAACAATAACAAAGCCAAATCCCCGCCACGGTTTTTGTAAAAAGCTGAGCGATGTGGTTGGAGAATTGTAAACACTCTCTAATTCATAGACAGCTCTATGGATGCAAGGACTGACCATCCATGATATCAAAATTATATACTGAACAAAAATAAAACGCAACATGCAACAATTTCAAAGATGTAAGTGAGTTACAGTTCATATAAGGAAATCAGTCAATTGAAATAAATTAATTAGGCCCTAATCTATGGATTTCACAAGACTGGGCAGGGGCGCAGCCATGGGGTGGGGAGCCAGGCCCAGCCAATCAGAATGAGTTTTTCCCCACAAAAGGGCTTTATTACAGACAGAAATACTCCTCAGTTTCATCAGCTGTCCGGGTGGCTGGTCTCAGACGATCCCACAGGTGAAGAAGCTGGATGTGGAGGTCCTGGGCTGGCGTGGTTACACGTGGTCTGCGGTTGTGAGGCCGGTTGGACGTACAGCCAAATTCTCTAAAACGATGTTGGAGGCGGCTTATGGTAGAGAAATGAACATTCAATTATCTGGCAACAGCTCTGGTGGACATTCTTGCAGTCAGCATGCCAATTGCACGCTCCCTCAAAACTTGAGACATCTGTGGCATTGTGTTGTGTGTCAAAACTGCACATTTTAGAGTTGCCTTTTATTGTCCCCAGCACAAGGTGCACCTGTGTAATGATCATGCTGTTTGGTATTTTATTAGGATCCCCATTAGCTGTTGCAAAAGCAGCAGCTACTCTTCCTGGGGTCTACACAAAACATGAAACATGACATAATATAGAACATTAATAGACAAGAACAGCTCAAGGACAGAACTACAGTGAGGGAAAAAAGTATTTGATCCCCTGCTGATTTTGTACGTTTGCCCACTGACAAAGAAATGATCAGTCTAAGGGAAGGAGGTTCTTGGGTGAGAACCTCTTGGGTGAGAACCCCTCGTGGATGGGTATTCCAGCATGACAATGACCCAAAACACATGGCCAAGGCAACAAAGGAGTGGCTCAAGAAGAAGCACATTAAGGTCCTGGAGTGGCCTAGCCAGTCTCCAGACCTTAATCCCATAGAAAATCTGTGGAGGGAGCTGAAGGTTCGAGTTGCCAAACGTCAGGCTCGAAACCTTAATGACTTGGAGAAGATCTGCAAAGAGGAGTGGGACAAAATCCCTCCTGAGATGTGTGCAAACCTGGTGGCCAACTACAAGACACGTCTGACCTCTGTGATTGCCAACAAGGGTTTTGCCACCAGGTACTGAGTCATGTTTTGCAGAGGGGTCAAATACTTATTTCCCTCATTAAAATGCAAATCAATTTATAACATTTTTGACATGCGTTTTTCTGGATTGTGGCGTTTCGGGTTTCGGTCCATTACCATTTATTATTGCATTATTATTATTAGTGTATTGACATTTTGGCCATTGGTTCATGAGCGAGAATCGAACTTGCCATCCTAAGGGCAATAGACAGACACGTTACCACCACTCCAGGAAAAGCTAGCACTCTTGGGTGAGCAGTACAATCGGTCTCATCAACGCCAGGTTAGTTAGAGTAGGAATATATACCTTTACAGCTCAAAAAGACACCTACCAAGAGAGAGTCTCTCACAGCCTCTGCATCTCAAAACAGGCCGGACTTCATATTAAACTCATCATCAGCAGGAGTGCATATGAGGCTGAGCTCCGAGGGTGAGTTTTTTTTTTCCAACAGCTGTGAGATGATACAGCTGTTGAGCTACGTTTCTTTTCTATGGCACGGGGATGAGCTTTACGCTCACAATAATATTTATCTTTACTAGAACACGGCTGGGAGTCGACAAAACGTTTTGTGACATGTGCTTTACATTTTCTACACAAACACGTCGTACGTAACTCAAATGTAGCGGGAGCATGCTGGGCCCGGCGGGTGCCAATGTTAACATACGCTGTCATCTCCCTGGCGGAGGAGATCCTCTCTTGGCTAATCACTCAGGCCGGGGGATCTAAACATTGTCCTGTAGTCTAATGAGCTGTAATCATTTAAAGGGGCTCTCCATCTCTCTGATGTCTAGAACAGCGAGTGAGACAGAGACTGTCATTCTAGATTGTCTACAGTACAGTAGACTGACTGTTATTCTAGATTGTGTTCCCGAGTGGCGCAGCGGTCTAAGGCACTGCATCTCAGTGTTTGAGGCGTCACTACAGACCCCCTGGTTCGATTCCAGGCTGTATCACAACCGGCCGTGATTGGGAGTCCCGTAGGGCGGGGCACAATTGGCCCAGTGTCGTCCGGGTTTGGCCGGTGTAGGCCGTCATTGTAAATAAGAATTTGTTCTTAACTGACTTGCCTAGTTAAATAAATAAAATAAAATTGTCTACAGTACAGTAGACCACAATGAGAAACCCCTACCAGAGTAGACGCTGGTCAAGATCAGGCCATTATTTAATCATTGCAGATAGAATTTTCCATACTGTGTTCTGGACACAAATGGAGCAGAATATTAATTGTAGAAACCTGGTTGTGTGGGGTTAGATTACTTCTCAGACCACTTTGTCGTCAGTACTGGTCACACCATAAGACTGAAGATTTCTAAGTTAAGTGTCAACTCCTTCTGTCCAGGACACACTAATGTACAAAATCACTTCTGAAAACCCAGATACTGGTCCAATACCACCCTAATAAAGGACCTGTAGATGAAGACCTCATAATCCATAGTGATCAGTTCATGGTGGTAAGAATTTCAATGAAACTGTCAAGTGTACTGCAGTCCTTCACATAGTAACACAGGCTTCAGTAGTTCAGCCCACATGCTTTTTGTTACGGCCTTTCAACTTAAGACTAAAATAAACCTAATCCTGCCACACTCGAAGGAAATCCAATGTGATCAATGAAAACAACTTCCAGTAGTTTTATTAGACCTAATATTTACTAGCCTAATTAAAATGTCTGGAGGTCTGGTTAACGTTACACTGCGTTGATAATAATTACAACAAATTCTGAGCGAGCAGACTGCCGACCACCCAAAAATTACATCACAAAAGACTGGCTCTAAAACGAAACGATCCATAAGATTCCATCTTGGGACCCCCCCCCCCCTGTCCGTCCCAGCAGTGCATGTCTTCACAGTTGACCTCCAGGTGCCGGCTCCGGTTCTAAATCAAGCCCCCGTTAGAAGCGTTGCGCTTCCGGGGCCACGCTTGGTCACGCTCCCTCAAGGCAGACTATGGATCTAAGATGTTGCCTGAAGAACTCATTAGAGCCACTGGATGAATGAGCCCCCCCCCCCCCCCCACCCACCCCCCATACCTGTGTGTGTGTGTGTGTGTGTGTGTGTGTGTGTGTGTGTGTGTGTGTGTGTGTGTGTGTGTGTTGTGTGTGTGTGTGTGTGTGTGTGTGTGAGAGAGAGAGGACGGTATGTTGGTGGGGGGAGACGGGGGTGGACTCCCACTTACTTGAAGTTGTCGTCCTCTACGAACTTCTGAAGCTCCTCGATATAGCGCACGGACATTAAATACTTCTGAACATGGGGGAGGGTCACCAGGTGATCTGTGAAGGGAAGATTAAAAACAGACAGTAAGACGAGATCAAGAGAAAAGACACACCACAGGACTGGAGACGAGAGAGAGAGAGGAGAGAGGAGAGAAGAGAAGAGAGAAGAGAGAGAGAGAGATAGATATAGATACTAGATAGATATACTAGATTATCTCTCGATAGATTAGAATGATATCCCTCTCTCTCTCTCATACTCTCTCTCGCTCCTTGCTCTCCTCTCTTTCTCCCTCTCTACACCTCTCCTCCCACTCCTCTCCATCAGCAACCGTCCTCCCACTCCTCCCAAGCACACTCTCCTCTCCCACACTCCTCCCACCTCCTCCCATCAGCAACACTCTCCTCCCAACTCCTCCCATCAGCAACACTCTCCTCCCAACTCCTCCCATCAGCAACACTCTCCCAACTCCTCCCATCAGCAACACTCTCCTAACTCCTCCCATCAGCAACACTCTCCTCCCAACTCCTCCCATCAGCAACACTCTCCTAACTCCTCCCATCAGCAACACTCTCCTCCCAACTCCTCCCATCTGCAACACTCTCCTCCCAGCTCCTCCCATCAGCAACACTCTCCTCCCAACTCCTCCCATCAGCAACACTCTCCTCCCAACTCCTCCCATCAGCAACACTCTCCTCCCAACTCCTTCCATCAGCAACAGTCTCCTCCCAACTCCTCCCATCAGCAACACTCTCCTCCCAACTCCTCCCATCAGCAACACTCTCCTAACTCCTCCCATCAGCAACAGTCTCCTAACTCCTCCCATCAGCAACAGTCTCCTAACTCCTCCCATCAGCAACACTCTCCTAACTCCTCCCATCAGCAACACTCCGTCTAACGCAAATTAACATCTGAGATGTCTGTGTAGCCTCATCGCTAACCCTTCCCCCGTTCTCTCCTCAAACTCTGGTCCGAGTGAAGCAAATGGCCAGCGCCTAGCCGGCAGTACATGAGAGAGAGATGACGTGTAAGCTCTGGGGCGAACACTGGGCGGTTTGGTTGTTGCATTTTAATGCTGTTACCAGCAGTTGTAGGGGGTTAAGGTTGTACACGTGTGCAGCTGCCATTTTGTTCGGGCCCTGTGGAAGTTCTCGGGAAACTCGCTGGCATTGGCCTTGCCGCTCAGCTCCGTGTCCATCGATGAGGGATTTACTTTATTAAAACCAACTCCGCTAACAATGACACCATGGCAGCGTGGCCCACTCCAACACTTCAGGGGTCACGAGCTCAGGCTTGTTGCTGTAGAAGAGCCATCTTGGATCTAAGATCTGTTCCACAGTTCCAATGTATAAATGTACATTTACATTTACATCATTTAGTAGACGCTCTTATCCAGAGCGACTTACAGGAGCAATTAGGGTTAAGTGCCTTGCTTAAGGGCACATCGACAGATTTTTCACCTAGTCGGCTCGGGGATTAGAACCAGCGACCTTTCGGTTACTGGCACAACGCTCTTACCCACTAAGCTACCTGCCGCCACGAGGAGTAAACATTTGCTTTCTCTTGCCAGTGTTGTCAAACTAAAAGTATCTTCAACGCAGGCAAGCTAACGATGACGTAGATGCAAGGACAGCAGACTACATCACACAGGCTTGAAGGAACATTCATATCCTTTAACGTTGCCGGGCGTCTCCTTTAGCATATGCTTCAGATGCATATCAACCCACAAGGTAGTCAAACATAAGAACCAACTCTTGATAGATAGTGCATAAACTATTATAAAAGGATTAATGCATAAATAAATATTTGTGGAAATATATCAATTTAAAAAACAACAATGGTTATTTGTTTACACAGAGTCAAGGATGTGTTTTGTATAATTCTACAAAGTGACCTAGAGCCTATTTTCATTTCCCTTACAATAAAAACATTACGGTGTAAACCATTTGATCAACTTTATTTGTAGATTTGATTAGTAATATAGTTATAGTAATTAATAAAGTCCAGTTACAGCTTCTTTTGACAAAGCAGAAACTAAAAAGATGATAATATAACCAGCCAGGTCACAGGTGAAATGATTTGCAGTATTCCTAAACAAAAGCACCAGTGCATGAACAATTGTAAAGGATGAATTGCATAAAGAAATATTGGTGGAAATATATTCATGACAAGATATAAAAACAGTCATTTGTTGACCGTATCAAACACTATTGCGCCTTTACGCATGAATCAATCTAGTCTGTCTTTGCTTTGGGTCCACAGTCAGCACACATCTTCGGGGCATTGTGTGAGCAAGCCCCACAAACAAATCGGTTGTTCTGCACACAGTTTTCAGGAATTTTGAGAGTTATTTGACAAAGGTAGTTGTCATAGAAACCATAGAAAATCAAAAAAGTTTTACCTGCATGTGACTCTGAGGGAGGATTTGATAAAGTGATGCTCCTTTCCCTGCGTCTGTCAATTACAAGATGCGTCCATCTCTTCATGGACAATTTGACAACTGATGGGCTTAATATTGTCACTCATCAGATGATTGTCAATTTAATCTGGTCTATAGGCTAACTCTTATTATGTGTCAAATTATTTTTGGTATAGTTAGGGTGTAGTTTGTCATCCATTTGTAATTCATTCAGTGGGCTGTTATCGTTTGCTTCCCTGGATAGAGTCGAGGATATGTTTCGCATTATTCTAAAGGCCTACTGCAACATGTAGCATGTTTTTTGTTTCCCACAATACATTTGAATAGTAATAGAGCGATAGTAAATAAAACAGTTCCATAACAGCTTCTGTTTACAAAAGGTGTGCAGTCAAATTATTTGCTGCTGATAAACAGGCATAACACAAACTCGTCATTACACTATTGTCTTTCTAAATTAAAATCAACCTCTTCACCCTCCTTATCATTCAGTTAGGCCTAATTTAAATTAGACTGTGAATGAACGTGCACAATTATCGCCCATTGACCCATTTGTCATTCATTCAGTGAGGAGAGAGAGAGAGACGCATTAGCACCTGGCTGGGTACCAACGTCCTACAGCACATTGTCTTTGCGGTGTTATGTTGGAATTAGTCCCATATGGGATTCCTGGTCATGGCCGGTTGTGATACAGCCTGGAATCGAACCAGGGGGTCTGTAGTGACGCCTCAAGCACTGAGATGCAGTGCCTTAGACCACTGCGCCACTCGGGAACACAATCTAGTATAACAGTCTCTGTCTACTGTAGACAATCTAGAATGACAGTCTCAGTCTACTGTACTGTAGACAATCTAGAATGACAGTCTCTGTCTCACTTGCTGTTCTAGACATCAGAGAGATGGAGAGCCCCTTTAAATGATTACAGGACAATGTTTAGAACCCCGGCCTGAGTGATTAGCCGGGTGATCCCCGCAGGGGATGACAGCGAATGTTAACATTGGCACCCGCCAGGGCCAATTGTGCGCCGCCCTATGGGACTCCTGGTCAAGGCCGGTTGTGACACAGCCTGGGATCGAACCGCAGGCTGCAGTGATGCCGCAACATTGCGATGCAGTGCCTTAGACCGCTGCGCCACTCGGGAGGCCCTGGGGCTGATTTTGTACAAAATCAAACATCAGTGGGCCATTGGCGGTTCTAGTGTTTACACTATTATGCCGACCCAAATCAAACTGTGCCGACTCTGATATGTCCTTTCCAGCATGGTTCCAGCAACTATGGTGGATGCAGCCAGGCCAGTGCAGTACAGCTTTATTGGGCTAAGTTCAGTCGGGCTCAGTTGTTTGAAAAGCCCTTCATCAATAAGAGAGTATTTGAGATTTGAGGGTCTCTATGGGTGATACAGTGATATAGTGGCTGAGGGGGGTGAAGCTGTCAATAAGGAAACCCTGCACTAACTGGTATATACTATGTAGCCTTCTGTCGCTGAAATGCGTCTGTTGGTTGACCTGTGATGCTGCTAAAATACATTAAAACTACTCTAATATACCAGTGAGAGCGGGCTTTCCTTCTTTTCACCATGCATTTTTTAAACCTGGCATCCGAAGACTGTCTGTTAATCTATACTTTTGAGCTGAGCACAACAATTTATTTTTGTGTGGTGAAGCTGACATGTCTGTAGAAAAAAATGAGGGAAACGTTGTACTCTTACCATATTTACAGGACATCTGCAGGTCAGAGATCACCCTCAGCAGGTTGTTCATCTGATTTGTCCTCTGCTCCGTCTCGATGATGCTATCCGACGCCGGATAGGCCGAGTCGATGTAGATCATGTCCAATAGGTAGATGCCTGGAGAGGGGCGGGACCAGAGGAAGGGGAGGAGTTAGTGGGATCCTGTACACAACTTCTTTAATATTCATTATGTGACAGACATATAGTATCTTGGTTAGATAAGTATTCAATACATGTTAGAATCACCGTTGGCAGCGATTACAGCTGTGTCTTTCTGGGTAAGTCTAAGAACTTTAAACACCTGGATTGTACAATATTTACAATTATTTAAGCTCTGTCAAGTTGGTTGTTGATCATTGCTACAGATTTTCAAGCCGATTTAAGTCAAAACTGTAATTAGGCCACTCAGGAACATTCAATGTCGTCTTGGTAAGGAACTCCAGTGTATATTTGGCCTTGTGTTTTAGGTTATTGTCCTGCTGAAAGGTGAATTTGTCTCCCAGTGTCTGGTGGAAAGCAGACTGAACCAGGTTTTCCTCCAGGATTTTGCCTGTGATTAGCTCCATTCCTTTTATCCTAAAACAAACTCCCTAGTCCTTATTGATGTACAAGCATACCCATAACATGATGCAGCCACCACCATTCTTGAAAATATGAAGAGTGTTACTCAGTGATGTGTTGTGTTGGATTTGCCCCTAACATAACGCTTTGTATTCAGGACAAAAAGTTAATTTCTTTGCCACATTTTTTGCAGTATTACTTTAATGCCTTATTGCAAACAAGATGCATGTTTTGGAATATTTGTATTCTGTACAGGCTTCCTTCTTTCCACTCTGTCATTTAGGCTAGTATTGTGGAGTAACTACAATGTTGTTGATCCATCCTCATTTTTCTCCTATCACAGCCATTCAACTCGAACCGTTTTAAAATCACCATTGGCCTCATTGTGAAATCCCTGAGCGGTTTCCTTCCTCTCCAGCACCTGAGTTAGGAAGGACGCCCGTATCTTTGTAATGACTGGGTGTACTGATACACCATACAAATTATACAATTAATAACTGCACCATGTTCAAAGGGATACAAAATGTTTAAAAAAAAAAAAAATAATAATAAAACAAATCTTGTTAATGAAATAGCGCCCCCTTCTGTGCACATTTGGTAATACCGTATACCCCGGTATGGTACAGAAACGGTATGACGGTCTGAAAATCTGGAATACCGCCCAACCCTATTGAGGAGCTGTGTTGAGTACTGGAGTGTCACTCCTCTTACTCCAGCTCAAACCAGATTTAAGTATTTCACTATAATCTTGTTGAACGGCTGCTTGGGTTTTCCATTCAACTTTCCTCCTAAGCCTAACCTGGTTGAACCGGACTGAAAGCTGTGCTCACAGTGCTTTAACCAGGCTATCTTAAGCTGTCCATGGACATCGCATACTGTCGTGTACAGTACTCTTTAGTCTTGTGAGACTGTTAGCAGAAATGAAGTTAACAAATCAAATCAAGATTTGCTTCTGGGTTCCAATATTCTCTAGTCTTGAATGTTGTCCTGTTGTTTACCTTTACATACCTTTAGTTCATAAAGGCTATTTGTTCCAGAGATGTCTGTTTTTCCTGCTGCTACTGTTGTCAGACATCTTGGAAACATACACAGTTTGCACATCTTAAGATGTAAACGTTTTATAAAAAAAGACAGTGACCCAGAACCCAGATCTTACAGCACAAAGTAACGCTGTCTGTGTGTGTGTGTGTGAATCTACAGCATAACAGATGTCTGTCTGGTCGTGTCCAACGCGCTAAGAAAGGAATGCTAGAGATTCACAGCACGGTGCTGAGTTTTACTGTTGTGTTGGAGTTCAGGCTGTCTTAGACTTTGTTGTTGGGCAGGTGTGTTGTCTCATAAGCCTCCTGTACAGCCATCTATTGTTTTATAGGCAGGAGGATTTTTTCACTCACGAAACGCTGCAAAGTACTCCCCCTCTATTCTCTCACACAGTAGTTCTAAATATTAAACCACAACAGAACACTACTAGGTTGCCTTGTTGTATGCATTCCACATCCTGTCACCAGCTCTCAGCCTGACGTATATCAAGTGTCTGTATGCGTACACCCTCTGTGTGTCGACTTTCTGAAGAAATAGTATATACAGTGGGGGGAAAAAAGTATTTAGTCAGCCACCAATTGTGCAAGTTCTCCCACTTAAAAAGATGAGAGAGGCCTGTAATTTTCATCATAGGTACACGTCAACTATGACAGACAAATTGAGAAAAAAAAATCCAGAAAATCACATTGCAGGATTTTTTATGAATTTATTTGCAAATTATGGTGGAAAATAAGTATTTGGTCACCTACAAACAAGCAAGATTTCTGGCTCTCACAGACCTGTAACTACTTCTTTAAGAGGCTCCTCTGTCCTCCACTCGTTACCTGTATTAATGGCACCTGTTTGAACTTGTTATCAGTATAAAAGACACCTGTCCACAACCTCAAACAGTCACACTCCAAACTCCACTATGGCCAAGACCAAAGAGCTGTCAAAGAGCTGTCAAAGGACACCAGAAACAAAATTGTAGACCTGCACCAGGCTGGGAAGACTGAATCTGCAATAGGTAAGCAGCTTGGTTTGAAGAAATCAACTGTGGGAGCAATTATTAGGAAATGGAAGACATACAAGACCACTGATAATCTCCCTCGATCTGGGGCTCCACGCAAGATCTCACCCCGTGGGGTCAAAATGATCACAAGAACGGTGAGCAAAAATCCCAGAACCACACGGGGGGACCTAGTGAATGACCTGCAGAGAGCTGGGACCAAAGTAACAAAGCCTACCATCAGTAACACACTACGCCGCCAGGGACTCAAATCCTGCAGTGCCAGACGTGTCCCCCTGCTTAAGCCAGTACATTTCCAGGCCCGTCTGAAGTTTGCTAGAGTGCATTTGGATGATCCAGAAGAGGATTGGGAGAATGTCATATGGTCAGATGAAACCAAAATAGAACTTTTTGGTAAAAACTCAACTCGTCGTGTTTGGAGGACAAAGAATGCTGAGTTGCATCCAAAGAACACCATACCTACTGTGAAGCATGGGGGTGGAAACATCATGCTTTGGGGCTGTTTTTCTGCAAAGGGACCAGGACGACTGATCCGTGTAAAGGAAAGAATGAATGGGGCCATGTATCGTGAGATTTTGAGTGAAAACCTCCTTCCATCAGCAAGGGCATTGAAGATGAAACGTGGCTGGGTCTTTCAGCATGACAATGATCCCAAACACACCGCCCGGGCAACGAAGGAGTGGCTTCGTAAGAAGCATTTCAAGGTCCTGGAGTGGCCTAGCCAGTCTCCAGATCTCAACCCCATAGAAAATCTTTGAAAGTCCGTGTTGCCCAGCGACAGCCCCAAAACATCACTGCTCTAGAGGAGATCTGCATGGAGGAATGGGCCAAAATACCAGCAACAGTGTGTGAAAACCTTGTGAAGACTTACAGAAAACGTTTGACCTGTGTCATTGCCAACAAAGGGTATATAACAAAGTATTGAGAAACTTTTGTTATTGACCAAATACTTATTTTCCACCATAATTTGCAAATAAATTCATTAAAAATCCTACAATGTGATTTTCTGGAATTTTTTTCATTATTTTGTCTGTCATAGTTGACGTGTACCTATGATGAAAATTACAGGCCTCTCTCATCTTTTTAAGTGGGAGAACTTGGACCATTGGTGGCTGACTAAATACTTTTTTTCCCCACTGTATGTGTTATGTTCTTCATATGTTTACATTTACATTTTAGTCATTTAGCAGACGCTCTTATCCAGAGCGACTTACAGTTAGTGAGTGCATACATTATTTATTTTTTCTTCTTTTTATTTTGTTTTCATACCGTGGGAATCGATCCCACAACCCTGGCGTTGCAAACGCCATGCTCTACCAACTGAGCTACATCCCCTGCCGGCCATTCCCTCCCCTACCCTGGACGACGCTGGGCCAATTGTGCGCCGCCCCATTGGTCTCCCGGTCGCGGCCGGCTACGACAGAGCCTGGATTCGAACCAGGATCTCTAGTGGCACAGCTAGCACAGCGATGCAGTGCCTTAGACCACGGCGCCACTCGGGAGACGAATGAAAACAAAACGGTGTCACAGAAAGGAAAACTATTGAAACCCACCCAGCAGGTGGCATTAATAACTTGTTGCCCTGATAGCTGGTGTAACATTATAAAAAGGGTGTATTATTTCGCCAATGTGTGGTACACCTGGTCTTTTACTCACAACAGGATTTGACATCCATGTCACCATGCCCTGGCAATGTGTCAAACAGTCCAAACACACACCATGCCCTGCAATGTGTCAAACAGTCCAACCACACACCATGCCCTGGCAATGTGTCAAACAGTCCAAACACACACCATGCCCTGCAATGTGTCAAACAGTCAAAACACACACCATGCCCTGCAATGTGTCAAACAGTCCAAACACACACCATGCCCTGGCAATGTGTCAAACAGTCCAAACACACACCATGCCCTGGCAATGTGTCAAACAGTCCAAACACACACCATGCCCTGGAAATGTGTCAAACAGTCAAAACTAGCAGAGAAGCGGCAAGGACTGTTCCCCATTTCCTGTCTTTATTCTGTGCAGAGGAAAAACAAGGCACGCATGAAACGCAACCTGGAAAAACATCTGCTGACCTTTTTATTGACTGGATGTCAGACTTTTCCTACCATTCGACTCTTTGTATCATAACCAGCTACCCAGAAGGCATGTGTATACATGTGGGCAGCGAAGCTGGTGAGTCTCATGTTTGTTGTTCCTCATTTGCAAGGTGGTTGGCATCATCTTTCCACAACTTTCTGGAAGACTTTTTGTATAGAAACGAGACGTCACCCATATACATACACATAACTAAATCACTTCAGCAGCTGCGGTTAATTTGCCCCAACAATATATCCCACATGTTGCCATAGCCCCCCTAATTGGTTTAAACAGGGACCCTCGAAGCGGAGTAGAAGACATTACGATTAGTGTCAATTGTGCAAAGTGTCTGTCGGCGACTTTGTCAGCTCTGTCGGCGACTTCGTCAGCTCAGACGAATGCGATGAGATGAGAAGAGAAGAGAAGGAGGGGAGAGCAGATTGAGATGTATTGAGCAGGGACTTGCTCTGGGGTCGAAGGGTTGCTTTGAGCTACAGCTTCCGAATCGTGCCCTGAAACCTTAGCCGTCCCTCTTGGGGGGTGGGGGGGGTAGCTGTTCAGAATGTGGCGTGCCAAAATCCATGCGTAAAATGGAGAACAGGCGAAAAACAAACCCACCTAACGTGGGAAAAACAACCACTTCATGGTGAGAACGACAGAGCAGCTTAAAGGGGGTCTGAACATACTGATTTGGCCTTGTTTTTTTACTTGTTCATTAACAAATGCAGCGGCCATTACTGAAGCCAAACTAGCATTGTCTTGGGGAGTATGGTTTAATGTGTGTGTGTGTGTGTGTGTGTGTGTGTGTGTGTGTGTTCGCACGTGGGAAGCATTTGTAAATTAGCTTCAGCCGGCTGGTGTGCGACCGTGGCAAAGTTGGTTTGACTTTGGATAGCCTATCTCTGGTGATAGTTAGGGACAGTCAATAAATGACACAATGTAAATGGGACAATATTTTCATGTTGCACATCTTCGAGTTGTCTCATTAAAATGCTTTCAATATTTGTATATGCATTTCTACAATTTATTGTTGGTTTGAGGTTTTTAACCCTTTACACTCGTGGGAATTGGATTGTGATGCATTGAAATGTTTCTTACAGAAGAAATATGAAAAGTATATGCATAAGCAGAGTAGGGAACAGTTTGGAGATTATGGGAAAATTATTAGACCAAAGTTAACGACAACAGTTCACCTGATACAACACTGAATCCAAACATTACAATTTTGATTTTATGTGCATTTTACATTTACTGTACTTTTTGCCGCATTTGTTGATAAAGAAATCTGAAAATACTCTGGATACATTCAGTAACATGATAAGAATAGTCCTGGAAAATGTGGGGTAGGTGTAACATAAGACAAAAAAATAACAAGGGTTTGAGTGAGAGGACTAACTGATGTCTCCATCAAAACGGTATTTATTATAGTCAACATCTCATCTTTAAAATTACATCGAGTCCTCTTAATTTACGGCAGGTAGCCTAGTGGTTAAGAGCGTTAGGCCAGTAACCGAAAGGTTGCTGGATCGAATCCCCAAGCCACCGACTAGGTGAAATCTGTCGATGTGCCCTTGAACAAGGCACGTAACCCTAATTGCTCTTGTAAGTCAGCTAAATTATGTACATTTGAAATTGACAGCATTTCCCTCACTCAGACAACAACAAATGTGCAAGTCACCCAATTAGCAGCATGGATGGGGGCAACCTACAGCGTTGTGAAGTGCAGAGCCTGACCTCTGACG